TACAGTATGGGTTCAAGGGAAGCCTGAACACAGTGCTCACCAGTAAAACAGACGTGACGATTACTGGATTTCTCGGTGCTTTGAATTATTAACATCATAATCTCATTGATTAACTCAGAGCCTGGGCATTTTGCACAATCATCGGCAACACAAACTGATGGCGTGGGCTGTCCAAAGATTGCTGGCAGGTTTCTTCGGGCTCATGTGGTACTTTTGAACTTTAATTTTTATACTGTACAATTTGCTCATTTAAAATATGCCATTAAATGGGTTTTTAGTACATTTAGAGTTGTGCAACCCTCCACAATCAATTCTAGAACATTTTCATAACCCTGGCCGTTTCCCATTCCTCCCCAACCTCCCCCACCTAAGCCAATTACGAATCTACTTTCCATCCGTATAGATTTGCCAATTCTCACATCACTTTTTTAAAAATGTGAAAAATTTTTGAAAATGTTGCCAACATTTAAAAATTGAGAAAGGTCCCATCAAAGCCCACATTTTCACCTTCTCTTGGAAAAGCAGATCTAGCCGCACTGGACAACGTGCAGCTGAAGTGGAGCAGGTGCTATTTCCTGTAGACAGGATGCTGGGAGACAAGATGCAGTGATTAGGGGCCTGCAGATTAACTAAAAACAGACAGATTAACAGCTGAAGAGACAAAGTTTATTCTTGTGTGTATGGAGGGCAGGACAGAAGTGGCTCTCTGAAGAGCTGGAGACGGGTTTATCTACCAGGGGCCTGCAGATTAACTAAAAACAGACAGATTAACGGCTGAAGAGACAAAGTTTATTCCTGTGTGTATGGAGGGCAGGACAGAAGTGGCTCTCTGAAGAGCTGGAGACGGGTTTATCTACCAACCTAACCGAGGATAGGGAGGGGTGGGGAGGAGGGCTTCTGTGGAACAACAAACGGCTTTTTAAAAGAAAAGACAAATGGGCTTTTAGGGGAACAAATGGGAGATAATAAAGTTTGTGATTATGTCTGTTCATTCATGGCAATAAAGCTCCCCCAGAGAGGATTTATGGCAGATTCACTCTCTGAAGACTCTGCCTTGGTCAGATAAGAAAAGCTCTGAAAAGGCTTTTTTTTTCTGCATCTGTTGAATCTCAAATGTCTCTGGTTTAAAATTATCTTTATCCCAATTCTGGAGTTTGAGTGGATCTCCACCCAGACCATGAATGGTCCAGTTTGCCCCAGACCCCACCACTCTCTACTGTCCTAGCCCAGCCCTTTTCATGCACTTATTGAAACCTGCCCGGCCCCCACAAAAGATTGTTGGCAGAATCTCTACATCAACCGTGATGGCCAAATCCCTGCAGGATCTAGTGCGTGTGGCTTCAACTCTGAAGAACAGGTATTGAGTACCTAAATGTGTAGATATAAGTAGATGCTTTGGTAGCTTATTTTAATTTCTCTGCTTAGTTTTATGCATGTTTGCCAACTATGAATCTCAGAGCTATGTCTTTCCCTCATGTTGTAAGCTTCTGGGTTGCCAAGGACAAAGCACTGCCCACGGGACAGGCCCAATAATTACTATAAGGTCTCAGGTCCCAGGCACCCTGCTAAGCACTGCCTACATTCCATCACTCAGTTCTCACAACAGCCCAGGCTCTTTGCTAAGCTCCTTCCCTGCATTGTCCACCCCATTTGGCCAGCCCAGACAGGTCAAGAAACCTGCTCAAGGTCACACAGCTAGCCACCAAGTAGAGCAACCAGAACCGCAAGCCAAGTCTGAGCTTGACTGTTTCCAGGGCCCCTGTTACAAAGCTCTCGGACAGATGGGCTCCCATGACCACGAAGGCAATCGGGCTGGCCTGGGCAGCCCAGGGTGGTGGTCGTCTTTCTGTAGGATGTCAGGGCTAGGCTTCCTGCAGCTGAACTGGGGACTCAGAAGGACCCCCCCACCCCTGAGCACAAAGATCTCTCTCACAAAGACGCCAGGATGGTCCTTTGCCTTTTAAACATCTATTTTAAAAATGCAAATGCATGTGAATTTGAAGCTCTGCAAATGTAACCATCAATTAAGTCTTGGATGGAGTTGGCTCTCCAAGCAAAATATCAATGAATGCAAATCAATACAGTGCCTCCTTGCTGTTGTTAAAGAAAAAATTATTCAGTGATACTTGCTAAAGCGCGGCGAGGAAGGCTTTATTCAGAACGATCTCTGTGGGTACAGGGAGCACTGCATTGGGTCTTGCCTTGGGGGAGAGTGGTCGGGCTCAACTCCGAACACAGCATGGGCAAGTGGGGTTTATAGCCAAGGATCAGGGTGGGGGTCAGTGGACGGAAAATCACTAAGAGGACACATCAGGGGTGAGGGGGATTCTAGCTAAACTGATGGAACAGGATTCTTGCTGAAGGCAGGCTGGGGTGATCAGATATGGAGGGTGGGAGCTTCCTGCTAAACTGACTCAGCAGGGATTGCTAAAACCAGATTTTACAAGGAACTGCACAGACGGGGCAAGGGGAAGTTTCGGGAGATTGACTACAGTTTGGACAAGCGAAGGTTTTTCATCACCGTTCCCTTCTCTGGAACACCCTTCTCCAGACAGCTGCATTGCTCAGTTCCTTCCTCCCGTTCCAATGCCACCTGCCTCCACCCTCAAGTAGCACCCTTCCCACCTCTCCACCCTTCCTCCCCTCCCTCGCTGGCCAGCACTGACCTGCTGGGTTTTTCCTCTTGGCACTTGCCCTCCCAGGTGTGCTATTGTGCACTGACGTCTTCATGTGTTCATTGTCTGCCCGACTAGAACATAAACTCCCTGAGGACAGGCACTTGATTTGGCTTCGCTTAGTACAGAGTCTAGCACGTGGCAGGGGCTTGTGAGGTTCTCCCGTGGCACAAAAGTGGCTCTAGCTAAGGGAGCTTGGTGATTCTGGACATTGTCAGGAGGTAGTTTCACCCTAGGGTAGACCTTTGACATGGAGCCCAGAAGGAAAGTGTTAACACAAAGCTTCGGAGGCCACCCAAGGGCAGAAGGGTCCTGAGCAGAGGTCTTGAGTCAATCCTTTAATCTGGAGATCCCAGTTCCTCCCCTGTGATTGTTCTCCAAAATTAAAAGACAGTGCTAGAGCAAGGGATTGGGTGGCCCGGCACCAGCATCTGTCACCTCCTGCGGGGAGGTGCTGCTGCTCCCCAGCTTTGTGATGAGGAAACAGGCCCAGAAAAATCAGAAAAGCTCACTGATGGGTCATCCAGCTGGGGCAGGATGAGTCCCGAGAGTGCCTTGGGTCCCCAAGGCATGTGGAGATTTCCCTCCCATACGTCTGGTTTGGAACAAGGGGGAGAAATGATGAGGAAGAACGTCCAGGCAGGGGCCGAGCCCCCCTGGGTTGATGCGCCCAGCTTCGTGAGTCCCAGGTCCCCCCTCTGTGAGGAGCACGTGGTCCAGGAAGAAACCAAATACAGCCCCTGCGGGATGGATCCACGCCCCAGAACGATCAAACCCAGTTGTTCCCTCGCCGGGGCTTTCTCGGGGAGCGCACACCCTCTCCTACCAGGGCCTGGATCCGCTTTCATATTCTAGAAGGGGAAAGAGTCATTTTCTGAATTTTAACTTTATGCTAGGTTAAAAAGAAAAAAAAAAAAAAAAAAAACAGAAAAAAGAAGGAAAAAGGAAAATCACTCTTGCAAACCCTCTCCATCTCCATCTATTCCTGTGGCTCTTAGATCTAAGAGCCCTGTGCTCCCAGAAAAAAGAAGGAAAATCACTGTTGCAAACCCTCTCCATCTCCATCTATTCCTGTGGCTCTTAGATCTAAGAGCCCTGTGCTCCCATTAGGGTGGCCCCTGGGGTCCCTCCCGTCCCCAGGCTGCCTGCATGCTAGTTCTTATCATCAACAATTCACACACCGCCGGGACGTTCTAGAGCCATTTCCCACGTGCTCCCCTCCTGGAGCAAAATAAAATTAGCTCTCTTCTGGGACATCATCAGCCAAAAAGTAAAAACATGAAAAGAGGGAAGAGAAATGGGATAAAGGGAGACAAATCCAGCAGCTTCGTGAACTGATAAGGGCCACGTTTTTTCTCCCCAACTCTCACGTGTCTTAACATTTTTTTAAGACATGCAACTGGTGACCTCACATGTCTGTAGCTGCCCGGCAGGCACCTGTGCACCGGCCAGAACACCAGCGTTTCCACTTGGTCCTGAGAATCAAAAGCTGCCCCATTTGGCTTTTGGGGGCCTGAAAACCTCTCCTCCTTTTTTCATCGTCATGTTTCAGTCTTTCCTCAAAAGGCCATTTTTAGGGACAAAGGTCATATTTTTCAAACCCAAATCTCGGGCAAATCGGAGACCTAGGCTCACCAGAGCAGGTCCAGGTCTGCCAGGCACCAGTGTGGGGTCCTTTATCCAGCAGCCCCAGGAGACTCCCCCAGATGTCCCACTAACCCAGCACTCAGTGAGTTTAGTGATCCAGGGCCCTGTGTAGTGTAAGCTCGCCCGTCCTCTCTCCGGTCCCCCTCTGCGCCTGGCTGTCCCCCTCTCCCCCATAGCTTTTTTCAGAGCAACACAATTTCTTGATGGTGGTCTCTGTTGCTTTGAGGATGACAGTGCTCTCCCTAAGAGAAAAAATTCTTGGGAATAAAAAATTTCTCCATCCGTTTATATACGTCCCTGTTATATAAATCCAGTATCGTGGCTATTTTTTAATGTTTAATTGTATTTTTTAATCATTCCAGTCTTCTTTGCCAAAATCTTTATTTCCTGGAATAAAATCTTCTAGACCTTGGGCCTAGTTTGCACAGCTGGTTCACAAGCCACGTATTTGGGGACTTAGCATACGTCAACACGAAAATTATAGAAGCATCCATTTAAACAGTTGCCATGCAGAGAAAGGTTCAAATGAATTCATTTCTTTTGACAAGGCGCGTGTTTCCTGCCCCCTGAAGCTTGGACCTGCCCGTTCTGTCCACAGCCAGGGGCTGGGGAGGCTGTGGGGGTGGGGCGGGGGCGGGGCCTCTGGGTGAAGGCGCCCCTCTTCCTGCTCCCCCCCAGCTCCTGTACATGTGCGGGAGCCTCCTGGAGCGGCCTCTGATTCTTGCCGAGGTGGTGCCCAGGTACTCCATCATGCTGGAGGTGTTTGATACTGACCTGGACAATGCCAAGATCTTGTACGATGCCCAGATGGCGGCCTCTGCAGAGGGAAATATCCCCCCAATCCACAAGAATATGCCCCCCGTGGCCGGGCAGCTCAAGTGGAGCCTGGAGCTGCAGGAGAGGCTGGAGGTGTCCATGAAGCACCTAAAGCACATCGATCACCCGTGAGTCACAACGCCCAGCCGAGGCACGCAGGGCCACCCCATCTCCATGCATGGGGGAGGGAGACGGCCTGGCCCGCCCCCAAGCATCCATGCTTCTTAGCAGCTGGACCTTTTCCTCCCAAAGCAAAATCCCAGGAGAGACCCCACTGGTCCTCTCTCCCCTCCAAATGCCTCCTCGAAGTGTGCTCAGGAAGACTCTGGCTAGTCCCTGCCGTTGACCATCAGCCTGCAGAAATAAACAAAGATCACCCAAACAGGACCAAGCAGAGGCTATTTATGCAGAGTTTGCTATAGCAAAGGAGTCAGCCAAGCTGCCGTCATGTGCTTTTGGCAGAGGCTGAGAGGCAGGCAGAGGAGAGGGAAGGCCTTGCAGTGGAAAACCGGGGAGGCTCCGGGGGGCCCTGAGGGAGGCTATGGGTCTGGGGCAGCTCAAGGCATCCTATGTGGTTGGTTAGGGGGCCCATTTGCTTCTTTCTGGTTGGCCCTAAGTTGGAAGGGAAGCCGTCCATTATTAATGAAGCCCTGGCCATTTGGAACCTATTGCTACAGGGATTGCTGTTTGACTTCTCGGACTGGCTGCTTCAGCCTATGGGTTGGCTTCCTGGGCTGGTTGTTGCAGATTGCGCGTCAGAGTTCCATTTTTATATACAGTCTGGCCATTGTCCCTCTGTAGACTCGGTCTGTCAGCCTTGATGAAACAGGTAGCTGGCTGTCTGCTTCAGCACCCACAGATCCGGCCCCAGTGGTTGGGGTGCTGAAGAGACCCCGAATGACATGTCCAAGGGAAGCCAGCACCTCAGGGCCCTGCCTGTCTCTGATCCCAGGGTCATGTCCAGCGTAGAGGCCAAGCTGACCTGCCAGAAATACGACGAGATAATGGAGATGCTGAGAAGTTACCGCGAGAAGATCTACAAACAGTGGGTGGACAGAGTGGACCAAGACTGCCACTTCAACCTGGGGCAGCCGCTGATCCAGCGGGACCCTGCCACCAACCTTATCCAAGTTAACTTCAGCAAAGAGGTGGGTGCCGCCCGGGGGGCTGGGGTCCCACTACAGGGGAAGGAGGAAGCCTGAGGGTCCCCTGCCGTGGAGGCTGCCCCCTTCCACCCACAGCACATGTTTGTGAGGGTTGATGTTCATGTCAGGGTTAGCCTAAAGCTTTATTTTTAAAGGGTTTTGATGTCCAGGGTATCTTTAAGATCTGAGGCAAAACAGTAGCATCCTTCGCTGGCCAGTTTGCTCAGTTGGTCAGAGTGCAGACTTATAACACCAAGGTCTGGGGTTCGGATTCCTGTACTGGCCAGCCACTAAAAAGAAAAAAAAAAAAACCCAGCAAGGACCTTTTTGAAAATCTTGGCCTCCTTTCTTGTGATTCCCAGGAAAACATCAATTCAAAAAAAATTTTTTTTTTCCTTTTTGTATTTTTTTACTGACCGGTAATGGGATCGCAACCCTCGGTGTAGCGCCCGCACCGCGCTCAGCCAGTGAGCGGGAACCGGTCTCCACATGGGATCCGAACCCTCAGCAGGAGCGCCGCCACACTCTCCAGTGCGCCACCAGGCCGGCCCTGAAAAAATTTTTTAAAAGTCTTTGCAGGATCTAGACAAACGGTCTGGAGGTAAACTGGAGAGAATTCACACTGGCGGGCTGCAGGGTGTGTCCCAGAGCTAAAACCTGGATGGTTTAGACACTCACAGAGGGTGGAAGCAAGGGAGCGGCTGTCCCCCTGCATGCACCACCTCGTGATCTGCCCTGTCTGGATGCCGGTGTGATGCCAGGGGGACAGGGAGACCAGAGATGCCTCTCCCTTGGAAACCTTCCTTTGCACAAGGATTCATTCTTTCTCTCATTCAACATTTACTGAGCGCCTACTGTGTGTATGTGCTTGGGATAAATTAGTGAACCTGAGAGACAAAGGTCTCTGTCCTGCCCTCCTGGAGCTTACCTCTGGAGGGAGAGTGAGAGAGAGAGAGAGAGAGAGAATGACCAACTAGCATAATAAAATAGGTAAACTACATAACACATGAGAGGGGGCCCCCAGGAGAGAGCGGGAAGGGCAGGTGGAGAGGTGCGGGGCAGGAGGAAGGGAGACAGAGCAATTTTAGACGTGACCAAGGACTTGCAGGAGGCGGGGAGTTGGCCACACAGAGATGTAGGGAGAAGCCTTCGAGCACGGCCAGCAGCTGCAGCCAAGGCCAGGAGTGAGCCTGGTGCGTCTTGGGGACAACACAGAGGCCCCTGGGGCTGGACGGGGTGGGCAGGAGAGGAGGTGAGAGAGGGGTCGGGGGAGTCCTTGTGGGCCGAGCAAGGGACTTGTGTGTTTGGTTTGAGCAGATGGCACCGTTGCAGGGTTCGGGCTGAGGAGTGCTGCGGTCTGGTTTATGCTGGTGAGGGGACCCTGTCCATGCTGGGCGCTGAGCAGATGGGGGTGGCATGCGAGGGTGGGAGCAGGGAGGTGAGACAGGAGGCTTCTGTGCAATCCAGGCAGGGGTGATGGCGTGGAGGGTGGCTCTGGCCAGAGGGACAGCAATGGAGGTGATGAAGAGCAATCAGATTTTGATCACAGTGTCAATTCCAGACGGGTTGAAAATGGAGTAGGTTTCGGGACTGGGTGACTGGAAGGGCGGAACTGCCCCCAGCCGAGGGGCAGCCGGAGGTGGCAGGTGCGGCAGGCTGCAGGAGGGGGCCGCTCTGGTTTGACTGCCTTGAGTTTGAGACGTCAGCTGGATGTCCGAGTGGAGGTGGTGCGCAGGCAGGTGGGTGAAGGAGTCCGGAGGGCAGGAGAGGGGTGTGGCTGGAGACATAAATGTGGGAGTCACCCACACAGATGGTCCTGAAGGCCGTGACATTGGGAGTGATCACGCCTCATTCACCTGGGAGTAAACTGAGGTGGGTCAGGCTCTGTGTGGCTCTCCATCACGGGAATCTCGAAATGGCCAAAAGGGACTGATTATGGTGACTGGGAGAGCCTGGTGTTCTGTGCGCCCAGGAGGAGGGAGCGGCCAGCGGCTGGGGCTCGTGTGAGATGGAGCCTGCAATGTGACCGCTGGATTCAGCCACGGGGAGGCTATCTCGACCTTGAGAGCAGCTTGGTGGACAGAAGCCCTGTTGGGAGGGACGCCCCTGGTGTTGATCTGCTGGGTCATAACCGGGTGGGAGGAGCGGGAAGAGGGGAGGTTAGGTCCCACGGAGGACCCAGGTGAAGCCCTGAAGCCTTTCTCCAAACAACCTGGGCGTGGGGGGAGGGGANCTGTCCTGCCCTCCTGGAGCTTACCTCTGGAGGGAGAGTGAGAGAGAGAGAGAGAGAGAGAATGACCAACTAGCATAATAAAATAGGTAAAGTACATAACACGTGAGAGGGGGCCCCCAGGAGAGATCGGGAAGGGCAGGTGGAGAGGTGCGGGGCAGAAGGAAGGGAGACAGAGCAATTTTAGATGTGACCAAAGACTTGCAGGAGGCGGGGAGTTGGCCACACAGAGATGTAGGGAGAAGCCTTCGAGCACGGCCAGCAGCTGCAGCCAAGGCCAGGAGTGAGCCTGGTGCGTCTTGGGGACAACACAGAGGCCCCTGGGGCCGGACGGGCTGGGCAGGAGAGGAGGTGAGAGAGGGGTCGGGGGAGTCCTTGTGGGCCGAGCAAGGGACTTGTGTGTTTGGTTTGAGCAGATGGCACCGTTGCAGGGTTCGGGCTGAGGAGTGCTGCGGTCTGGTTTATGCTGGTGAGGGGACCCTGTCCATGCTGGGCGCTGAGCAGATGGGGGTGGCATGCGAGGGTGGGAGCAGGGAGGTGAGACAGGAGGCTTCTGTGCAATCCAGGCAGGGGTGATGGCGTGGAGGGTGGCTCTGGCCAGAGGGACAGCAATGGAGGTGATGAAGAGCAATCAGATTTTGATCACAGTGTCAATTCCAGACGGGTTGAAAATGGAGTAGGTTTCGGGACTGGGTGACTGGAAGGGCGGAACTGCCCCCAGCCGAGGGGCAGCCGGAGGTGGCAGGTGCGGCAGGCTGCAGGAGGGGGCCGCTCTGGTTTGACTGCCTTGAGTTTGAGACGTCAGCTGGATGTCCGAGTGGAGGTGGTGCGCAGGCAGGTGGGTGAAGGAGTCCGGAGGGCAGGAGAGGGGTGTGGCTGGAGACATAAATGTGGGAGTCACCCACACAGATGGTCCTGAAGGCCGTGACATTGGGAGTGATCACGCCTCATTCACCTGGGAGTAAACTGAGGCGGGTCAGGCTCTGTGTGGCTCTCCATCACGGGAATCTCGAAATGACCAAAAGGGACTGATTATGGTGACCGGGAGAGCCTGGTGTTCTGTGCGCCCAGGAGGAGGGAGCGGCCAGCGGCTGGGGCTCGTGTGAGATGGAGCCTGCAATGTGACCGCTGGATTCAGCCACGGGGAGGCTATCTCGACCTTGAGAGCAGCTTGGTGGACAGAAGCCCTGTTGGGAGGGACGCCCCTGGTGTTGATCTGCTGGGTCATAACCGGGTGGGAGGAGCGGGAAGAGGGGAGGTTAGGTCCCACGGAGGACCCAGGTGAAGCCCTGAAGCCTTTCTCCAAACAACCTGGGCGTGGGGGGAGGGGAAGAGGACAGAGATAAAGTTATGACGATGTCACCCACCCACGATAGTGATGACAATGTTAGCGCTTTCTGGCTCAGGACCATCAAAGAGGGTGAAAACGTCCTGCTGCTGCCAGCAAACGTCCCCTCCCACCCACCCGGGAATCCCCCCGGCTGCACAAAGCTTCATTTCTGCCACCAAATGCCACGCTGCGGAGATCACCTTCTGACACGTTCTTTGATCTGCATTTGCCGTTTAGTTGGTGGCGGTTCTCAGAGAAGTCAAGTATTTGAATTTCCAGCAACAGAAGGAGATTCCAGGCAGTGCAGAGAACCTGTTCTCAGACAACGAGACCTTCCGGAAGTTTGTGGGCAACTTGGAGCTCATCGCCGGCTGGTATAACGAGGTGAGCTGGTGCCCTTCTGTGGGTTTTCTCTGCCAAGTTTCCGTTTTTGTTTAGAACAAACGCTGGTGTAAGATCTTCAGGTGGAACAGAGTAAACGAGGATATTTCAATATTCAAATATGGTTCAAGCTACTTGTCATGACTCATGCAACGGTGGCAGCCAGGACGGTGACAGGTGATAAGTCAAAACTGCTCATGATGGAAACCTATTTCCACTGGACTTTGGCTTACGTTATGCAATTCTTCATAGAGGCTTTATTCTCCTAAATATATTTTGGATAACTTTAAAGCCATTCGACGTTACTTCCATTACTGCCATTTAAGTGTGTGTGTGTTGGGCGGCATTTCCCGGAATGCGGACTAGGATTACAACTTTCCCAGCGGTGCATCGTCAGGAGGCTCAGTGTGAGGTGCCTGCAGAGGCCACCCCTCCACCCTCGGCTCTCAGTTTAAGAATTCCTCTTCAGTCTTGACCCCTGACATCGTTTTGATCTGGGGACCTGACACAGTAACCACAAGGAGGCTGTGTATAAACAAGAATTTCTAGTAGTTGGTTAGCTTTTGGGGACAGTCCCTTCCAGGGACTGGGCTGTCTGTTCAGTCCCCCCTTCTGGCATAGAATGTGGAAGCTGAGCTGGTGATCAGAAGGGGGCCTGGAGAGCGTAGCAGTGGGGCACAGCTGGTGGTCAGCGTGCCTGTCTTCCTTCTAGGCACCCCCTTTCTTCCAGACCCCACCCACAGATCCTGGAAAAGTCCCCATAAACTTGACCACACCTGAGGCCACACCAGATTGGACCAGATATGGACACTGCTGCTGTAACAAATTACCATGAACTGAGTGGTTTAAAACCACGCGAATTTATTATCTTCTAGTTCTGGAGGTTGGAAGTCCAAAATCTGTTTCAGTCTGCTGAAGTCAAGGCGTTGGCTGCTTCCTTCTGGAGGCTTCGGTGGCCCTTGGCTCATGGCTGTTGGATTAGTCAGAGTTGTCCAGAAAAACAGAACCAATAGGATACACACACACACACACATATGCACACACACATATGAACACACAATGCACACACACGCACACACATATGCACACACACATGCACACACATATGCACACACATACACATGTGTACATATATGCACACACATACATATGCACACACATATGCACACACATGCATACACACATGCACACACACATACATATGTGTGCACACATATGCACACACACATATGCACACACACATATGCACACACACACACACATGCACACACATAGAGAGAGAGAAAGAGAGAGAGGGGGATTTATTGTGAGGAATTGCCTCGCACAATTAAGGAGG